AGCTAATAGCTAATAATTGAATTTCCTATCATATATTAATCAATTGTTATTTAGAAAATATGATTTTTGAGTTATGGAATCCTATATTTTGATACCAAACCATTATGATTAATAAAAGGATGATTTCTTGGAATAAAGATGGTATTTTAACAACTAAAAGGGATCTTATGTGATGCATGACGGTAAGCTAGGGTGTTAACACTCGATGCTAGGCCGCTGATTGTTATTAGTTATTATGATGATTGATTGATTGTTCATTTTTATGAATATTATGGATTAATGATGACGAATATTCTGGATGAAATGATTGTTGAACTGAGAGTATGAATTGATAAATAATGTTGTTAAGGATATCTAGAAGAACTTTAAGATATACCTATTAGCTAATTAATGTTAAGACTATCTAGAAGACTTCTAGAATAGATCTTAGAGTGAACTTATGAAAACATGAATATTCGACGAATTAGATAAAAATGTATAAACGGGATTCGTAGACTAAGCTAGAGGATCACTCGTTGGAAATACTTCGACTCAATGATGATTAATTATTGTCTTATTGTTGCCTTAAACTAATTATAGTTTAAGCGTCTGAGTATTGTTTGCCTTAAACTAATTAAAGTTTAAGCATCGGAGAACTGTTGCCTTAAACTAATTATAGTTTAAGCGTCTGAGAAATGTTTGCCTTTAACTAATTATAGTTTAAGCGTCTGAGAATGAAATTATGATTTGGCCTTAGACTAAGAATAGCTAAGAGCATTATTATGATCTGGCCTTAGACTAAGAATAGCTAAGAGCATTATTATGATCTGGCCTTAGACTAAGAATAGCTAAGAGCGTTGTTATAATCTGGCCTTAGATTAAGAATAATTTAAGAGCACTATTGGATTAATATCTGAATTGAATAAAATGTGTTGATATGAACTGAATAATACCAAAACTGTGAATGTCTGAAATGAACATTGTGTGCATGATATCAAATGATTTGATTATGAATTTAGATTCAGTTTATATGGATGTTTGACGCATTAGATATGCTTACTCGGCTTTACCGCTGAGCGTGTAGTGTGTTTTATTTGCTACACGCAGGTAAGCAGAAAGCACAATGTGATCCTGGCGGTAGATGGGGCGAGATTGTCGGGATGGATGTGACAAGTTTTGAAACAATTTATGATATGTCAATATTAAAATCGCTTCCGCAATATTGTTGAATACTCCGTATTGTATATGTATTGAAAAATATTATTGGGATTAATAAAGTGTGTTTGAAAAGTTTTAAATTTTTACGATTACCAAGTTAAATGCTTTAGTCCGAATGGGGCTGCAGACCTGGACGGATTAGGGTGTTACATGGTGTGCCTCTTCCATGTTCTTTACTTTACGCTTTTAACTTTTTATTCCTGTGTCTTTTTCGCCTCAAGTACTATTCACCCCCCTCTAGCGTTGGGACGTTTTTCTAACAAAAAACCCAATCGCCCAAAATAATACCCAATCGCCACGATATCAAATCTCAACTGCCCACTAGCCTAATGAATTCTTCGTCATCTTCCTCGCGAGAAATCTCAAAAGAACCCTAATTTTTTCGAAATTCTTCTCACAAAAACTCTTAATTCTCACAAAAACTCAGAAAATGAAGGTTGGAGGCGTGAATGTCCATTTCAAAAAATTGGAAGCTAAATGCTCTTCACCGGCTTTCTACAATACATATCTGGAGATGATTGAAGCTTAAGAACTCTCGGAATTTCTACATCTAGAAATTCTCTCCAAATATAAAGAAGAAGTTCTGGAAATCTACAGAAATGGAGAAATCAAAACCATCCAATCCACGAAGAATCCACAAAGGTCGATTCAAATCATCGAATCAACTATTGGAGGCACAAAAGTGAAGATTTCACAGAAGAAGCTACAAAAGAAGCTTCATCTTCCCAATTTTGGAATTGATGTTTAGAAGTTCACATCCAAGAATCTGGACTGGAATAAAATTGGGATTTTTGGACAAGTCCCCTCTGTGCCGGCAAAGAAATATGAGGCAAGATATTGGTTGTACTACCTGTCAACCAAAGGAGAAAACAGAGCCAACTCTGTTGATGAAGAAGAATGATCTCCAGATGAAGTTCTAGTTGTTAGACTGAAGAAAACTTCAAAGAAGAAGCAAGTGGTATCTTCCTCCCCCAATGCTGAAGAACCACGAGATCTTGAAGCAGTAGATCTAGATGAGGAAGAGGTCTCAACCCAAGGAGAACTTTAGAAGAGAAAGAAGAGAAAAGTCTCCTCTCCCTCCACATCTAGAGATGTCAATTCGGATATGTCACAGCAGAACCATCCAGAGGACAGTCCTCAACATCTTGATGAAGAAACCCATCAAGAACAAAGCCTTCCAACTCCTTCATCACAAACAATCTCTGATGAAATGAGCAAATTCCTCTATATTTACTCTGTTTGGAGAGCTTGGAAGGTTGGTAACTCTGAAAAAAAGTTGCTTGATTGCGACCAACAAATTAAAAATGAAAAGATTATCAAGAGATTCCTAGGACTGCCAACTAACTACTACTGTGAACAGATTTTGGATGAAGAATGGGTCTGGAAGAAATCCAACGAAAACCTGATGTTGGAATACTTGTCCACTTCTCCACCTTCAGAATTTCAGGTTGATGATGAGGACACTGCAGTCTACAAAACCATCTTTTCAAATCCAGCTGAAAACCAAGTTGAAAACATCACTGCAGAAACACAAGCAGACCTGGAAGCTAAAGCAGATGATTTCTCAATTTTTCTAGAAACCTCCCCTATTTTTGAAACTATTCTTGTTGGAGCTGTCCAGGAGAATGCAACTACTCTCCAACCTGAAGAACAGATTCAAGCAGCAGCAGAAGAAGAAGAAATTCTGCATTCCCTCCAATTACAAGTTCAAGAGATTCTCACGGATGAACTTGAAATTGTGGAAAAGTCAGTAGAATATCAGGAGAAGTCCACTCCTCCAGATACTATGGAAGAAAAATCTCAAGAAGAACCAGAAGTGGAAGTTCAAAGGAGCTTTGAAGAAGCTGCAGAAGATGCTCAAATAGCTAGACTAGAGGTTACTGAAACTCCAGTTGCTATCATTGAGCAACAAATTGCTGATGTAGTGAGAGATTCGATTTCTCATAAGATCTCAAACTACATAGATGAAGAAGCTGAGGAAGAGTTAGTAAAGACTCTGAAAATCAATGAAGAAGATGCTGAAGAAGAAAAAGAAGCTGAATCTCACCCTCTACAATTCTATCACAGTGTACCTCCATCCCATCAGGTAACAAACTTCTACTTTCACAGCTCTTCCATATCTACTCTTCCGGATGAGATGCCAGAATCCTGGACCAGGAAGGTTCAAGGGATGGTTGAAACAGCCCTAGAGTCTCAAAAAGCCTCATTCAAGGAAGAGTTAGATAAGATTGAAGTGAGACATAACCAGATTCTAGAGAAAACTGAAGAGAAGTACAGCTCAAACCTCAAAGAGATAAGTCAAACTATCAACAAGACTCTTGAGATCATCTCTTTTCTGATCTATTCATTGAGCAATACTATGATGACCTATGCCTCTAGCTCTCATCTCCAACTTAAAGAAGTGATGGAGATCAAATAGCAGCTTGCCACGGTCACCACAAGTCTTCATAATCAAATGTCTTTCCTACAAATGGACATCAAATCAGCATTGGTAGCATCTTCATCAAACCAAGTGGTAACTTAAGATTATCTGAAGGTTCTTGCTGAAAATCAGAAGGAAGTATTCAAGCTCTTCAAGCACTTTGCAACCTTCACTGCCAAACACAAGTTAGATTTGATTGTCCAATACAAGAATCTCCCAGAAATTCAAAAGCTTCATATCCAAGCCAATCAAGGAGAACTTGGGTACATTCCAACCCACCTAAAGATGACTGATCTGCTCCTAGAAGCCCAGCAGAGCAATCCGGAGCTCTCAGTACAACATATTTCAAACAATGAATTTGACGGGACGGAAGCCTTTAGAACAATTGCCTCACACTTCACAAATGAGGCTCAGCAAAAGGAACAATATGACAATCTGAAGCGCATAAGGTCTGAATGTGGAGTCATACAAGACATTGGAGAGTCTGCCGAATCCTCCAGACGCAAGAGGAGTTGAAGGTTATTCTCATCAAAATAGGGGGAAGTCTGCATACATTATTTGGGTTTTGATGACAACACCTTCTTGTTTAAACACTTCTTCTGTTTAAACACTTTTTGATTGAATCTCTTAATTATGCTTGAACATATTTCCTTTATGTATAAGTTTAGAGATTTATTATGTGTGCATACATTCAAGGGGAATGTAATTCAGGGGGAATTTAACTATTTTTGGCTAATATTTGTTTTCGGTAATGAACTGCTGATAATCTCTAAGCATGGAAGACGGATATCTCATTTGTTGTACCAGAGTTGGAGACCTCCGATTCAGTTATTCTAAAACATCTGCCTTCTTAAATTGAGTATTAATCCTTAGTTGATCTCCATTCTTGCTCCAAAGAATTGGTTCTTAGGATTTTTTTTAATGTACATGACCTTGGAAAATTAGTACCACTTTTCTTTTAAAAATGTAGTTTATTTTTTGGTACTACCTCGTTCTTATAAAAAATTAGAACTTTAGGGAATAAAAAATGATATATTTTATTTTGGCCTTAAGAACCCAATAGGAATAATTTCCCTTTAGTGCATAGATTTTTTTGGGCCATTCTTATGGGCTTAGCCAAAACATAAACAGTTACTTTTTCAAACCAAACGTAAATAGCTTCATTTAAAATAGTTTTAGTTCATTGGTAACTAGTAAAAGATTCCTTCAACGTTTCTAATTTCAACCTTTCTTGGAAGTTGAAACTCTTTTACTTTCACCATTCCAACCACCTACTTAATGGAACCCGTGTACCTCCCCTCCTTCTCTCCTCCTCCTATATAAACCGAGCCAATTCATATCCATTCCTATCACAAACAATTCTATCAAAATGAAAAGTCTTCAAACTCACTGTCTGAGAAAAACACCTAGAAAAATCTTTTCAATGGAAAAGTTTTTCTTCCTCACCCTCATAGACGGCAATGGAGAAAGCATGGTGGGAAGAAAATATATTCAAGGTCTATGGTGTGAATCTCGGCAGTAGAGAAGGGCTATGGTGAGAATCTCGCATTTTTGCATCTCGCCATACACCTTCTCTAGAACAACTCTCTCCCCCTTTTCTCTTTTTTGCTCTTCAATTTTTTTTTAATTTTTCTCTCGGCCTATTTTCATCTCTCTCAATCTCTCTTCTCTTCTTTTATTTTTTTTCAAATTGATTTTAGATCTCCACTTCTCCTCCTCCTTTTCTAGTTTTTTTAAAATTGATTTCAAATCTCCGCTTCTCCTCTCATATCACCCTTTTCCAACTTCTCGAATGCTCTCTCTCTCTTCCCCGTCCTGTCTAAGACTTCTTAGCTAGCATCTTCTTTCCCCATCTATTTTAAATTTTTCTTTTTTTTCTCTAGTCACCATATTTTTCCTTTAAACTCTTTTTTTTTCAAATTTCTGCTTTAAACTCTTTTTAAATTTTTTCTTTCATCTTTAAAAACCCTTCTTTTATCTTCCTCTCACAATCTTTTGTCTTTCCCAAAACCTTTTCTTGTTCTTTCTGTCTTTTTCTTTTTTTCACCGCCCCTCCTCTCCTCCCTTTCCAAAAACAATTTTCTTTGTTTTATTTTCTGTTATTGGAGAGATGTTACTTCCAAAATCTCAATGTACACTTTGGATGTTGAGATCCATCAAATACAATGCCATTTGAACTATCAAGCAAAATCAGCTGAAGATAAAAGCAGCAAATGGCAAAAATATCACAAATCTCAAGACAAGACTTGGTTTAGGAACTGTTGTAATTTGAATTGTATTTTGTTTAAGATTTTTTGTTAACAAGCTGTATTTTATGAGAAACTAAAAGAAAGTTATAAAGTTAGTTCTCAGTACAGCAACCGGAACTCTTAAACACTTGTTTGTCATCCTCAAAAATGGGGAAATTGTTGGGAAAAATTATAGGGTTTGATGATGATGTATTTTGATGGTAATAGAGACTTTAGGTCACCCCCAATATTCAATGTAATTTTCTTTTTAGAAACATTGTTAAAATCGAGTTCTTGCGATTTCCAATAAAACGTGTGATATTTCACCTTTTGGTTTGATGTCAATCTTTAAAGACTTAAACTAATTAAGTGATATGGAAATTGGAATTTTTGCTTGGAAATGTCAGAGACAAGTAAGGAATTCTCAAAGCAGTTGTTTACTTCGGAATTCTAAAATCCGGAATGCTATATGATACGCAGAAGTCTCGCTACAACCCGCTGAAAGCTAAGTCATCTTAATCGGAAGACTAGCGCAGATCTCTTTCTCACCCGGAAGTCTAAGAATGACTAATCCGGAACTGTCAGCTAAAGAACCGGATGTCTCAAGGAAGACCGGAACCCTCAGAAGCGGACAAGTGAGAAAAGACTTGGAAAAATATCTAAGTCATGAATGAAGAAATACTACCTGTTGGTAAGGAAAAATCAACTTCTTGATTTTCAATAGCTAGATTGAGGATATTAAGGTGATTCAAGAACAAATGACATGAAGACAAAGTCTGGATTTCTCAAATTGAATAGCTCAGTCAGAATTCTTGAACAAACACAAGAAGACAAAATGGGTACTCCGCTCAATAAAGAGCTACAGTCAGGAATTCTTGAACAACAGCTAAAGGATAGATTCTGTGAAAAAGGATTCCTTCTTCAAACAATTGGGTATGTCCAAACACTCACTCCAAAGGAGAATCCTCAATCTCACTCTTCGTTCAAATTGAAGCCAGAAAATGCAACGGATAGTCAATTCCCTTCAACGGATAAATTATCCATCCAGCCTATATATATATAGCTCCCATGGAAGACTAAAAAAAGGAGAACGATTAACTCAGCAAACTACAATCAAAGCTATCTCACAGTTAGCCAAAAAGCTTGATAAAGAGAGATTTCTAAACTTTTTATCCAGAAGCAAACTTCTCATTCTTCCAAAGAGCTATAGTGTAAACACTTGAAGGTTTTCTTGCCTCAAGTACCACACCACGTTGAAGGATACAACTTTTAATAAAAAAATTTGATTAAAACAGGGGACATCAACTTTCCTACAAGTTGATCTTGCAAGTCCTATTGTTCGGACTTTGTAGTAGTTGAAGAAGCTTGATCTTCGAAGGAACAACCAAGCTAGCATGAGTGCAGTAGCAATATTGGCCTTGCGAAGATATACCGTGCAGAAATTCACAAAAGTTTAATTGTTGGTTCATTATTCAACAACCAACTACATAGTGGATTTTGAGGACGTAGAAGGATTACACCACTTTCGAACCACGTTAAAGTTTGCGTGTCTCTCTCTTTTATCTTTACTTATATTTGCTTCTGTATGTATTAACTGTGATACTAACCCATCCATATTGATTATTGCTCCAATAACCCACCAACTTCCGCAAACATAATCTAAGTTCACAAGAATTTTAAATTAACACTCTTTCACGTTTTCAAAAGAAACAAAAAAGTNCCCCCCTCCTCTAGACTTTGTTTCTTACCATTTTAGGGACCACCACGAGTCGTAGTTTATATACGGTTGGACACGAAGCTTCCAACCATGCCGTCTAAGTCCAAAGCGTCCAAAGTTAGACGCCATACTTGTTCCGTCCATTCGCTTTCTGCCACATGTAATTCTTAGAGAGCAATCCACGCTAGGCATCCAAGTCGAAGCGTCCACCCCGCAAAGCATCCATGGGTTGGATGCTTCAGACCCTCTCCTTTTGGGCTTTCGCGGCCTGGTCTAATTTTGGCTCAGTTGATGTTTTCAAACGTCTTGAAACACTGTTTACACCTCTCCGAGATTCTCTTGATAATAATTCTCAATTTAAAGTTTCTTTTTCTCATAAATATGAATAGCAAAATTGAAAATCTATACTGATTTATTTTAGAACCAATTATTATTCCGTTAAGAACAAATCAACAGATATTGTTTAGATTAACATATAATTACATATTGATTTATTACTATTTTCATGCAAAAATGCTTAAAATATGTTGAATAAAATAAGAACAAAATGAACTTATCAAATTCCTCACACTTAAACGTTGCTTGCCCTCAAGCAACAAATTTGAACAAATAAAGATATGAAATTTCCTTAATATTACTAAAAAGAGCTTTAATTGCATAGTCATGAGCAAAATTCGACTAACATAATCATCAATCCTTGTTATCTAGTTGAATTCTTTGAGTTAGTTGTCTCCCATTCCACTGGAAATATGCAAATCTTTTGTCTAGCTAGTGTTTTTACTTGATTAAATCAAATAGAAATAAACTATTACTGAAATGTTTGCATTTTCTAAAAGAAATTATTATGATCAAAAGAATTTACTACTTTCTATAAAAACAAATTTTCCACGAATAATGGCCAGAACACAAAGGTGTAATATAACAAAATCTATTTGTAACGCTTCTCAATGAGAAAAATTCTCATCTCACGGAAACATGTTACTTTATTGAGATTGTGGATTTATTCTACATGCATAGTTACTCCCTTGCCTTCTGCGATTAATGGAAGAAGCAGAGACCCATCATGGGGGTAGAATTCCCAATTTGTCACTTAAGCGCAATCTCAAAAAAATCACATTAAGAATCTTAAAATTATGGGTGTTGTAAATAGGCCTTTATAAATTGTCAACAATCCCGATGAAATCAATAGTTCTAGAAGGTAATAAAATCATTTGATCTAAGAAAAAGTTAAGAAAATGCTAATTTATTTCAGGGATAGTAGAAGACTATTTGAAAAAATTGAGTAAAAATAGAAGTTTGACAAAAAATTTATAAATTTCCAAGTTATATGGACGACACGCTATTAATTAACTACCCAAGTTGGATTGATGATTAATTAAGTTGAAACAAAAATTTTCTGCTAGTATACATGTAAAACAATTCTCCTTCAAGCATTTGAATCAGATAATTTTCCTCCTCACACTTGAACACAACCATGTCTCCGTGGTTGGAAAAATAGTTTAGGAATGTAAGGTTGGAATGCTTGACAAATAATAAAACAAATAACTCAAACCATTGATTGAATTAGAAATAAAACAAGCTCATAAGTAAATGTTACCTGAGGAAAATAAGAAGTTCCAACAAATCCAGTCGAGCATCAATTTCCTACTCATAAATAGAAAGAAAAAGGAGTTCATAGGAGAGTAATGGAAAAATCACAGAGGAGAGGCAAAATAGGGGGGTCATCACCCTCGGAGGGACGGGGCGTGAGACTTGTGTGCACATCTATATAAAAGTTGGAGAGGACGTTCCGAAGCTAAGCGAAGCTCTCAGCCTGGGACGTCTGCTGCTCCATAGTTGCCATAGCCCGATTGATGGTCTTCTGCTGCTCCATGATCTTCCAGGCCCAATCAGGGGTCAGATCCGCCTGGGAAGTGGATGCAGAAGCTTGGGAGGCGACGAGGTGGCGATGAGTGACTCTTCACAGAGCATGGGAAGATGCTCGTGACATCGATGGCACAAAGGAGGAGGTGGTGTTGCTCTCGGAAAAGCTGGATCCCAACCTCTTGCAAATATGAGCATTCCGCAGCATGCCCGCGATTAAGCCTCGCATCAACATATGGGGCTGTGGAATGGGCGCAGACCCCACGAGAGACCGGAAGAGTATGGTGACCACAAAACCGCAGACGTGTGCGTCTGGTTCCCCAAGGACTGGATGTACAGGAATCAGGCCACACAGACGGCCACATTTGCCTCCCGGTGTGTGTGCAAGCTCTAGAAGACTATGAGGTCATCGGTGTACACCCGATCTGTGCTCAACAGCCTTGCAAAGAAGGATGTGGATAACACAAAAGATAGGATCCACCAAGTCGGCTCGATCCATAACCTTTGCCCAGCTCACAGTATCAAAAGGGTCCAGGTCATTAGAATGCTCCGCCCAAAAATCAACTCGATTGACATCTGCCGGCAACAGGAATGGCGCCTCATGGAACTCTTGTGCCATCGTCTCCTCCCAAGTGTAGAGACCAAAATTCCTAGCTAGATCCCCAACTATCAGCTAAAACACCTGCCCTAAAAGAGAGTGAAGGCTAGTGTAGTGCGAAAGTTGATTGATCAAAGGTTTAGTGACCACGACCTAGAGGATGGCTCCAACTCCAAGGAGCACAAGAACTCAATAGTAAAAGGCAAACTAGACTCGGCTCGCGTCCTAAAGAGCCACTCCCACCTCGTCCCATGGGGTAGCTACTCCATGTCCTCTGCGTACCCATAGTCAGCAAGGACTACCGACGAAAGGTACACATACTCCGTCAGCGAACGGTGGCGTCCTAATGTCTCAAAGTGCTCGATGGGACTTGAGCCAACCAAGTAAACATTGGCTCGTGCAATAGTGGGATACTCTGGTTGGTGAGGCATCTGCACATAAGACAAATATATAAAGTCTTGCCCCCTCATAGGTGCAACAAGTCTCTATTCATTTCACCCAATCATAGAATAACAGAAACAGAAAAATTAAAACAGTAAAGGAAAAATAATGGGTTGCCTCTCATTCAACGCTTATTTAAAGTCATTAGCTTAATGCATTTCATTCATCATTTGTAGAGTTTAATCTCCACATTGTCCTTCTAGAACTACTCACCGAAGTATTGTACATAATGTGCGTTGCCTTGAAACTTCAAGTTGAAAAATGCCCTTTTATATGATAAATATGAAATTAATATCTAATTTCTTTTTAAATATTTTAATAAATAGTTTTTAGTATTGACTTTCGAGTTTATTATATGTTCCATGTCAGCTTTACAACAAAAATCAGCATCCTGAACCAAAGCGAAGTAGAAAACTTACTAATTCCTGGTTTGGAATTATTGCACATAACATCCAATTAGGCCTACCATGGGAACTACAAATATTGGTCAAAAAATATAAATTATAAAAAAGAGGTTGTATTTAAACTATATAGCACTTACCGTGCAACGTAGGAGGCCAACTAACAATCTACAGAATCATCCTTTATGGCTTTTCCAACCTAACAAATCCGATTGTTATTGATTTCAACAATACTCTTGGTAGTCCCAAAGTGGTGAGATACAAAGTCTAGAGAGGGGGTGAATAGACTTTGTTACAAATTTAAAAATCGTTTCTTTTGAAAACGTGAAAATGAGTGTTAATCTATATGGATGGGTTAGTTTCACAGTTAATATAATTGCAAGTATGAGTAAAAGATAAAAGAGAGAGACACACAAACTTTAATGAGGTTCGAAGGTGGGGTAATCCTTCTACGTCCTCAAAATCCACTATGTAGTTGGCTGTTGAATAATGAACCAACAATTACACGTGTGAATTTTTGCACGGTATATCTTCGCAAGGCCAATGTTGCTACTGCACTCGTGCTGGCTTTGTTGCTAACTGTGAATGAGATAGCGTTGTTCTTGTTGGTGTTAGGTATTCTATCTCATATATATTTCTCCAGTCTTCCATGGAAGCTATATATAGCTGGATTGGATGATCTATCCGTTGAAGGGAATAGACTATCCGTTGCATTTGCTTTCTTCAATTTGAACGAAGAGGGTGATTGAGGATTCTTCATTGGAATGGGTGTTTGGACATACCCAGTTGTTTGAAGAAGGATTCCCTTTTTCACAAAATCCGTCTTCTAGCTTTTGTTCAAGAATTCTGGACTGTAGCTCTTAAATGAGTGGAGTACTCAATTTGTCTTCTTAGTTTGTTTAGGAATTCTAGGCGAGCTCTTCAATTTGAGAAGTCCAGACTTTGTATTCAAGTCATTTGTTCTTGAATCAGCTTAAATATCCTCAAGTTAGCCGTTGAAAATCAAGAGATTGATTTTTCATTACCAATGGGTAGAATTGCTTCATTCAAGACTTAGATATTTTCTAATTCTTTTCTCACTTGTTTGCTTCTGAGAGTTTCGGTCTTTTTTGAGACATCAGGTTCTTTGCTGACAATTTCGGAAAAGTCATTCATAGACTTCCAGGTGAGAAAGAGATCCGCGCTAGTCTTCCGATCTAGATGGCTTAGCCTTCAGCGAGACATCCGGTTATCATGTAGTGTTCTGGATTAGAAAATCTTCGAAGTAATCAACTGTTTTGAGAATTCCTTACTTGTCTCTCACATTTCCGATTAAGAATTCCAATTTTCCATATCACTGATTTTGATTAAGTCTCCAAAGATTGACATCAAACCACATAGTGAAATATCACCATTTTATTGGAAATCTCAAGAACTCGGTTTTAACAATATTTCTAAAAAAAAAATTACATTGAATATCATGTAATACCCCGTATTAAGATGGGAATGAAAAGTGCTCAAAAAGATTGATAGTACTACTCATACCAACAAGGTGCATCTTCTTTTCGAGAGCTCATCACCTAGAACTTCAAAGTTAAGCGTGCTTGACCTGGAGAATTTTAAGATGGGTGACCCCCTGGGAAATTCCTTGGGCGCGCATGAGTGAGCACAAAGTGCGCGGGAAAGACGTGTGTTGGTTTGTGGGCCAGTCTACAATCATATGAGTGGACACTTACGGCCAGGTGGGGGTCGGATATCAGGGGTGACCTTAAAGTCCCTATTACAATCTAAATACATCATCATCAAAATCTATAATATTTTTCTCAACAACTCTTACCATTGAGAGGCTTTGAGGAAATCTCTATAGGATCTAGAAATTGGTACGTCCTCTTGTCGCATAACTCAAACTGATCATAATAAAGAACCCTAGAAAAGATGAAAACCTCTCAAATAATTGAAGTAATTTTTATTTATAGAATATCTAACCTCTTTTAAAAAATAAAATGTTGAATACAAAGGACTACATCTCACATACTAGATCCAATAATCAAAAAACGTTTTTTTTTTAATTCTCTTTAGTTATAAAAAAGAGAATATATTTCAGATAAATAATATTTTACCTCTTTTAAAAAATAAAATGTTGGATACAAAGGACTACATCTCACATACTAGATCCAATAATCAAAAAACTTTTTTTTTAATTCTCTTTAGTTATCAAAAAGAGAATATATTTCAGATAAATAATATTTTACAAAGTAACCCGTTTTTACTAGCACTCTGGTCTGGATGACTGGGTCATTCAGGGTGGGGTACCAATTTCTAAATACATCATCATCAAAATCTATAATATTTTTCCCAACAACTCTTACCATTGAGAGGCTTTGAGGAAATCTCTATAGGATCTAGAAATTGGTACGTCCTCTTGTCGCATAACTCAAACTGATCATAATAAAGAACCCTAGAAAAGATGAAAATCTCTCAAATAATTGAAGTAATTTTTATTTATAGAATATCTAAACTCTTTTAAAAAATAAAATATTGAATACAAAGGACTACATCTCACATACTAGATCCAGTAATGAAAAAACGTTTTTTTTAATTCTCTTTAGTTATCAAAAAGAGAATATATTTCGGATAAATAATATTTTACAAAGTAACCCGTTTTTACTAGCACTCTGGTCTGGATGACTGGGTCATTTAGGGTGGGGTAGGGTGTTACATTCCTTATTCTAACTAACCCTTCCCATTCCTGTTTCTTCCTCGCCGGCACACTCCTTCTCGCCGGGCATTGCAACTCCATCTGCCGCAGGTATGTTCTCCCCCTCCCTTCCTACTCGGTTTCCTCCCCATCCCTTCCATCTCCGATCCTCCCCTGCGATTCCGCCACCTGCGACTCCCCCTGCGATTCACCCCCCTGCGATTCCGCCACCTTCGACTCTCCCCTGCAATTCCCCCTCCCTTGTTTTATGTGTTTTCTTTACAACATTTTTTACAGATTTTTTAAAAACTTTTTATAAATATTTTACCAGATTGTTTTACATATTTTTTTAAAGTTTTTCTTTTACAAATGTTTTAGAATTTAACTGAAACAACTTTGTTGTTAGATCCTTTTTTTAAACAACTTTTTGAAATAACTTTGTTGTTGAAACAACTTGTTTACATATTTTTTACAGATTTTTTTACAAATTTTTTATAATTCAGTTGTTAGATTCTCCTCAAATTTGTTGCAAAAAAAAAGTTGCAAAAAATCCCCCAGCCCCACTTTTACGCAAAACAACACCAATGAAGATGATGATCCTCCTCAAGTCTGGAAGTTTTTTAAAACATAGTTTGAACATGAATGTGTCGATTTGGTCTCTCTTCAAGAAAGAGAAGTAAGAGAAAATTGAAGTTTGATAGCTTCTTGTTCTTGACGATAAACTGTGTGGTTTTATGTTGTATGATGTGGTATTTACTGAGTAAAATTTTGCATCGATCTCGAGCGATTCAAGAAGATAAAAGCTCTAGAAGAGAAATGAGAATACGTAACTTGAATAAAATCATTAGGGATGATGATGTGGTGTGCAGAAACTTTATTCGGATGAACCGACAAACATTGGTCGTTTTATGTGAGATGGTAAGAGATATAGGGGGGTTGACTCAGTCAAGGAATATGTGTGTGGAAGAGATCTTAACAAGTTTTTTATACACATTGGCGCACCATAAGAAGAATAGAATGATTGGGGGTTATTTTTATAGAAGTGGCGAAACGATAAGTAGACAATTTCATGCATGTCTAAAGGCAGTTTTAAAGTTGCATTTTGTGCTTCTTAAGAAGTCTTCTCCAATAACGAAATACTCCAACAAGGACGACATTCGATTGTTTCACGTCCTATTGAACAATGTCAAATATGATTGGGTTCACTTCTTTCTCGTTGCACTTGGTGATGGTACTCGTTTTTCACATCTTCGTATTGCCATCCCTATCATGCATATCCTTGCTCATTGCAAAGTGGACCTTACTCGGGACACTCGGGTGCCGGTGAAAAAGACTTGTTTCATCAAGGACACCAAGTTCACCGAGACTGTCTTCCGCAAAGAGACAACCGACGAGCAAAATCTGGTATTGGTTGTTGCCGATGAAGAGGAGAGCGAGAACGAAGCTGATTCGTCTCATGCCAGCGGAAGTCGAACCTCGGCACGTGTCACTCGTCAACGCAGGACTCGTCCGAGAGAAGAAGCACCGGAACCTTCTTGGGTGAAGAGGATCTTTGACACTCTCGCATGCATTCGAAATGACGTTCGCTAGCTCAACAAGAGGATGACTCGTTTCGAGCAATCGCGCTCCTTCCATGGTCCGCGTCACAGCTTTAGCGGAGGAGCTCATCCGGCACATTCTCTTTGATTATGTTGACGTTATTTTTATGATACATTATTAAATGATATTGTTTTTATGACTCTTTTGGTGGATGATGATGTTGCTTTAGATGATGCTAGTTATTGTTGTTAATTGATTATTATTGATGTTAATCATCATTGTGTATTGATATTATTGTTGGTTTGGCAATATTGTTTTTTAGAACATATAGTCCCTTTGTGGCATTTTGTTAGAAGTTCTTCTTTTAAAGAAAACTCTTGCAAAAAAAATTTACTATCCTTCAAAATCCCGGCATCAATTAAGGGAGAAGGTTATTGGTTGATAATTTCAAAAAGGGGAAGGAAGGATAGTTGAGAAAACTTTTTTTTTCAAAAACGTTTTTCCGCTTATTACTCCGAAATTGTTTTACTGCACTTCTCTAACCATGCACGGGGAATTAATTTAAGGGAAGTATTTCTTGAACTCATACTTTGTTTTTTCTCAACTATGTTTGTCATTATCAAAAAGGGAGAAATTGTTAGACATGAGTTCAAACCCCTTTATTATTTATTTCTCTGAAATATTTTTTGTTTTGATGAATAACAAACAGGATGATTAAATTCAAACGGTAATCGAAAATTTATTTTTCGTATCGAGAAAAGCAAAGAGGCGTTTCAAGAAATTTACAGCAATAAAAATCAATGCTCACCTCTATGCAATTTTTTTTGAAGTAAAGTGAAGACTCCGAAGACTTTTTATGTTTTTATTGAGTCTAGGAATTTTTTTAAGGATGACAATAAATTTTGCATAAACAAATAATTTTTGAAGGAAAAAAATTATTATTTTCTGAGTCAGTTGAAAAATCATTTTTTCTCTATCTAAAAATATTTTACCGAGTCAGTTTCAAATTAGTATGTCAAAATTTCACAAAATATTTTTTAAGATTACACAAATTTTTTTGGTAAGAAAAATATATTTTAAATATTTTTTCGTGTACACCATTTGACACACAAAATAATTTTTGGACTCACTTTTTCTCTCTTATTCAAATTCATTGAATAAGAGTTTCTTGATTGTGAGGAGCGTGCTACCTTATTCAGATTGTCTCAAACGAGGAACAAAGGCCAAATGCACTCCTCATCGCAACTTGGCTTGGGCCCTTTGTTTTTGCCCATTATTTCCCTTTAAATCGATTAAAAATCCTAAATTAATCGATTAGATCCAGTTCCTTTACTAGATTTTTCAGGCCTTGAGTTTAATCGATCTTTCATTCTTCACTTTAATCAATTAAATTAGTTCAGACAGCGCCGTCTCGATAAAGTTGCACCCTTCGCTGAAGACTTTTTCCCATTTAATCAATTACAATTCCACTTTAATCGATTCATTTTGTCTAGTGGCTATTCTCAGTATGCTCCAACGGTTCTATTTTTTTCAGCCTATTTAATCCCTCATTTTGCTTCTTTTTAAAACACAACTCTTACATTCCAATATCTCCATTGAGTTACATTCATTTCTTACTTCCATCTTTCTCATCAAAATATTATTTTGAAACTTAGAAATATTTTCATTGAGTGCTAAAGATATTGTCATCCATAAAGCTTTCATATTTCAAACACTACTTGCTCAATTGTGTGAACTTTCATTCTTGTGTTGTAAACTCAATCTTATTTGAGTGTTGTTAATTAAGACTTGTGTGATTCAAGTCTTGTTGTTGTTAAGACTTGAGTGACTCAAGTCTTGTTGTAAGAATTTGAGACTTGTGTGATTCAAGTTCTCGAGTTGTATCGGTTTTTCAAGCACCCGTTGAAGCTTGAAGTTTAGTAGAACCTTTGAGAGAGTCTCTTGGAGGAATGGACTAGCCACGAGGTGGTGAACCAGTATAAATCACGGTGTACTCCTTTCCCTTGCTCTTTACAATTTTCCTACGATTTTTATATTATTATCACACACGCGATTCACGCACATTCTAGCGAACAATTTTATTCACACCCCCCTCTAGAGTTGCACTTTTGTCTAACATTTAGTGTAACACCCGCCTTCCGTGGACCCGGTTCACCCGCGACCCAACGGACCGGTAGGGTTACATGGGCGGTCCGAGAACCGTCCGTAGAGAAAATCGCATTAATGTCTATTTATTATGAAACGATTGGGTTTAATTGATGGGATATTAATGACTATTTATTATGAAAACGTTTATGTTTAATTGGTGAAATAAATGTTAGGAGTTATTCCCAAAACGTGTGAGTTATAAATGTAGAGTAAAAGCGAAAGTAAATTGATAAGTCCAAAATAAGTAAAACGACATATGGTGGGTTCATGCCCAAATGATTAATTAATTAAATGGTTAATTAATAAACTCGTCCGTGCGTCGCCCATCCTCCCATCATCACTGTCCTCCAGGGTTAGCACCTGTATCGTCATGTCTACCTGCATGACTTAATTTTTGGACCAATGCGTAAAAGATTTTATAGATATTATTAATAACATTTTCGGTACCGTCTTAGTTCCATGCTCATTTTATAGATATTATTAATAACATTTTTTGGACAAATGCGTAAAAGATTTCCTTCATTACTTAATTTTCCCTATTCTATAAAAATATTTTTTCATAAACTTTTCTTTAATTTTTTTTTCTATTCTTTTTCTTTTATTTTAATTTTGATTAAAGCAAAAGAACCAATATAAAATTAACGAACAAAAAATGAGAAATGAGCTTACATTCGTATCATGAAAATGAACAAATAAAGACCACTTTTGGACAAAAAAGGAAAATGTTTAATTTGAGACAAATTAATTGTACATTCATTCTTGTTGTTTAATTGATATTTATTGCAAATACAAAAAAAAATTGATTATTAAAACATTATAAAAAATAATGTTCAACAAGAAATTAAAAAATATTTATGAAAAAAAGTAGTAGAAAAAAGACAAAAATAAAAAAGAGGGCGCGTTTGTGCCAATTTTTGAAACCAGTGGGGATAGTGGAGTTCGTATAATATCTGAATGATATTTTAGTGTAGAGGAGCATTTACCTAATCATATCAGATACATTACCAAAAAAATCTTTTCCGTAAACAAATTAATCCAATCATATTTGCTTACTTTCCAACAATTTTT